ACAATGTCCCCATCCTCCGTAGAAACCTGACTTTCACCTTCATCATCTCCTAGAACCTCTCGAACTTCTACGCAACTGGTTGGAAATATTCCAGAGAAGACCCTAGCTTCAAGAGTCTGCCCTTTTATACTTGTCAAGCCCGCCAGTAGATTTGGCGGAGCAACTAAATATCCTCGAAACCATTGTGCATCTTTACCACCTTGTTCAATTATGTATAATTCATCCCCAAGCTCAAGTGGAAGATCTGCGGGCGAGGAAGCAACAAATGGGTATGTTGCGACGGCGAATGCGATGCGTGGAAGAGGTTGCCAGGGCATATTATCAACTGCGCATTGGGAAGAATGTGGAATGCGGTGGACGGCGCGACGAAGCTAATTAGCAAAGGTATGTCGGCGATAGATGGGAGGAAATCTGCTTCATCAGGATAATTTTCTTCTTCTTATTTTTTTTTGTTTCGCGTTGTTGATATTTCTTAGTTGAATATTGAAGTGTGTACCTTATCGTAGCGGCAGAAGTCAAGGATCGGGAGCGAGGAGTCGATAATTTGGTCTAGTGGTATTGAGGGACTTGAATATGATAGAGTAATAGACTTTAGGATTCAGGTCAAACAGTATCTGAATTCAGTAATTGATCTCGTTGTCAATATCATTAACTTTTTTCTGAAGGTCGGGGTAAGTCCAGTGTTCTAGGTAAGGTTTCGAAGGGGGTAATCGTTATGGTACCAGGTATATTTTATATTCAACGTGCGCTCAGACGAAGATTTATTATTATATTTATCAAACTGCAGATAATGCAAGTCGGTGATTATTTGGAAATTATATCTTGATATCTCATATCGTATATCTTATATCTCGAGATACTCGAGGTCATCCTTCACTCATCACACTCTTTTGTGTTCAGGGAGTTCAGAATTACTTGAGATCTATTTCTACACATAGCACAAGGCTGAACGATTTGTATTACGAATTTCGACGAATTTTCTTTTGATTTGTTGTCTCGCTATTGATATTATCGTCTGTGATTCATAATTGTTCCATATAAATCAAGCTATTATATGATACATCTATAGAGGGAGAGAGGTATTTATGGAAGGAGGAAGCTTTCTGTTATTACTCTGGGCTGGTCTGAGATCTTGGGATACTAAAAGTGCTTCCCCTGAATATCTACTTGGTCATTGTATCATATATACCGTTGCTCAAGGCTGTCTTATTCGATAGTATCTTCTGGTAACAAGTTTGATAGTACCATTGCAGTTAGGTATACTTTCTGTAGTATACACTCGTTCGTCTGGTCGCTCGTTGCGTTGGTGTTTGGATATTCCGATTCGTTGGATTGCATTCTGTTTGCTGCCCACCCATTGCTACTCTGGTCCAGTCTTGTACCTACTACCTACCTACCTAGGTAGGTACTTGGTAGATTGCGAACTGTACTATCTTCTCACAAAGCTATACATCGATAGCCAAGCATCACAGAGTGATACATACATACTCTTCGATGCCATTCCTTTCTATTATTCGCTTCTTGGGACTCGTATATGGAAATTTACAGAAAGAACAATGAGAGAATATTTTTGGCTGTGGCTTTTAGATACTCACTTTCGTCACATCGGCACACTTTCCCTCCTGTTCGGGTAACGAATCCAACAACCTAGCAGCTTAGTCGAAAAGCCACTCTCACTAATTTCATGCCGTCCTCTAGCTGCAGGGGAACCACACACAGACTGCAGAAGTAACAAGTTGTCAGGGACGGAGCCCTACTTTCTTAGTACCTGGTCCTCTTTCCTCCACGTGTGTGTAAGACCATAGCTTTGAGGTACAGCATATTTTGGAACTGTACAAGAGATCAAGGGACGTTTACACCTGTTTCGAGGAACATTTGAGTTGGGTGGGTAATTAGTCGTCAGCTTTTGGTTGGAGGATATTATCACATCCACCAGGATAAAATTGTGTGGAGGCTAATCATATTGATCAACGCCAGGTTGACCTGGTACGAAAATTTGCAGACCGTTCTCGAAGCTGTTCTCCAGCTCGAGTTGGGATTTGATGTCGATCATGAAAATATATTGTTGAGAATATATCATCTGCGAGATTCATCCATTGGATAACGTGATTTATCATCGAGTGGACCATATCATCGAATAGACCACTTTCACCTTAATAAATATAATCAATTTCAATAACGTGGTTTAACAGTGGCTCGGCCATATCAGTAAGTCGGCCACCATTTTTACATACAAAATACGTCTGTGCACAACCGTGCACTTTCTTTATTTATTGATATAATTTTCTAAAAATCTAATATTAAATATTTGATTATATATAGATTATAAAAATCTAATTAGTTTCAATAAATTAGAATTTTTAAAATAGTTATTATAAAAAAAAGCTTTTTTGTAACGAAAATCATGACAATTTTGATTTTTTTTGAAATCGAAAAGAATTATTTGAAAAAAAAATTATTACTTTGAATAACTGATTTTTTATTATTATTTAATATTCTTTTCTTTTTCAAAAATAATGATTGATAATTAAAATATGAATATTGAAAAAGGCTGATTTTATATGTATTTTAAAGTGGCCGACCCACTGATATGGCCGAGCCACTGTTAAACCACGTTATACAATTTATCAATTATTTATTATATAATTTAATAATAAAGAAGCATGCTTGCTTTTAGTTATTAAAGCTATTGAAAACGATAAAAAACTGAATCTTCGAAAGGCCTTTCAATTATATAATATCCCTTGTATAATTTTTATTTATAAAATAGATGATTTAATTTTATATCTCGAAATTTAAGCAAATCGATATAAACTTATAGAATTAAAAGAGGAGGTTATTATTCAATATATTCTTGATATGGATTTAAAAGGTTTTCTATTTAATTTTAAGGGAGTGGAAGATATAGCGAATCATATTCTTGAATCGAAGGGTGCAAAGTGTGTTGGGAAGCTTTGGGTGTATTGATTTGTAAAGTATTGAATCGAATTAAAAATGTGTTTTAGTTGTATTTATAACTTTCAAAGAGCTCTTTGTAAAGATCCCAAGTTTATTGAAGATTGATTTCGATTGGTTGCAAATATGTAAGTGAAATTCGGTATTTGGATAGCGATTTCTATAACTTCGATGAAACAGGTTTTATGATGAGTATAATATGTTCTGGAATGATTATAACTAGTATTGAAAGATATAGTAGAAGTAAATCAATATAACCAGTAATCGAGAATAGGCTACAGCAATAATATACGGAAATGAGGAGGGTGAAACTATTCTCCCATTTCTAGTGGTTCAGGGATAAGTTTACCTTTTCAGTTAATATACCGAAACCGATTTTCCTATGGAATAAGCTATTAAATCTATATCTAATAGATGGATAAACAATAAAACGGGTTTAGAATGGTTGAAATATTTCGATAAGTATATTAAAAATCGAAGAAAGGGCAAATATCGAATGTTGGTGTTAGATGGGTATGAAAGCTATAAATCAATAGCTTTTCAAGTATATTGTAAAGAGAATGATATTATATGTTTAAGTTTACTATTGTATTTAAGTTATTTAATTCAGCTATTTGATATTGGTTGTTTTAGTAATCTGAAATGTTTATATGGTGGTCAAATTGATGGATTTATTAAGGCATATATCAATTATATTTCGAAGGTTGAATTTTTTATAGCTTTTAAAACTGTATATAAAGAATCAATCATTTTTCAAAATATGAAATCAGGATTTCGAGGAATAGGTTTAATATCTTTCAATCTTGAAGCTGTGTTTTCGAAACTAGATATTCGAATTCGTATATTTACTTTTTCTTTTTTTAATCAAGATTTATGGATCTTTCAAACTTTTTATAATCTATTTGAAGCTTTTTTATAATCAACTTTAATAAAATCTTGAATAACTTGTTATCAATTAAGCTTTTTTATATTTATATTCAAAACTGTATTAGTTTTAGTTAAGGGTATAGAGAGATTAGCTTATAAAAATATACTTTTAAATGTAGAGATTTATATATTTCGGGTAGCGAATGAGGTATTAAGTAAATATCAATGTGCAAAAAAAACTTAATTATATTAAAAAGAAGTATTTACTGGATAAGAGACTCTTGATATATTATTTTAACAAAAGGTTGATATTCAGATTTAATGCGATGAGTATTAAAAAGAGAGGAATTCTAATAGGGAAGTATTTTCTAATCGATATTGTAGTAAGTGTGGAAAGATTGAGTATAATATAAGAACTTATCAAAATGATTTAATAGATTTTAGATTATTAAAATTTTTATAATTTCAATTAATTGATTTAGTTGTTATTGAATAATATAAGTTTGAAAGTGTGAATTGAGGTGAAAGTGGTTCACTTGATGATATGGTCCACTCGATGATAAATCACGTTAGCTAAACAAACAGACAAACACATTCATCTCTTCCTCAAACTAGTCTCTCAAGATGAAACGAGGCAATGAGGATAGAAACAGAACATCAGGAGGATCTAGAGAAGGAGGATTCCCACGTCCTATTATGTTGGGAATGCCACGCTAGTAAAAAAGTTCAACATTAAGGAGGGACTTCAGGGAGGCTAATTCTTTGACCACCAGTGGACTTGAAAGATAATCATGTTGTACCAATGTAATATTTCCTGCAAGATTCTATGTATGGATTGTCCGCAAGTAAACGGAAACCCCGGAAAACGAATTTCATTGTAAAGATGTTCTTGACCACTTCAAAGATCTCTCGGTATGTACTAGGAATTAAATTCTAGAAGATTATCATTGACAAGGAGACAAGTTCATGATTACCGTCGCAGTTGAGAATCACAAGTGAGGGCGTATCGTCGGCACCCGACGATAGCCGAGGTTTCACCGTGAACGTCAATTATTTACTCCCCAGCTCTCCGTTCAGAACAACTTGCACGACTCCAAAACGCAGCATTGTTTATCATACCTTGAATCTTCCATAGATCTCAATAATCACTGCCAGCACACCTGATTTATCTGAGTATCATGGCTTCATCCGAGAAAGATGCTGCTACCAAAGCTCGCATCCTCAAACACATGAACGCAGATCACGCTGGTTCTCTGTCCCACTACTTACAGCACTACTGTCAGCTCTCCAAAAGCGAAGCCTCCAAGCCGAACCTTCTCGATATCACCCTGTCCTCACTCCAAATCTCTTCTAAGTCCGGTAAAACTCACACGATTCCCCTTGATCCTCCCATGACTTCCTACGCCGATGCTCGACCTCGATTTGTTGCTATGGATTCCGAGTGCCGTGATGCTCTCAACATCTCTCCATATACCATTACTCGTTACGAGCCCCCGAAGACTTTCTTGCATCGATTAATTTTCGGCTTGTGTTTGATAACGATGGTTGTATTTGTTACGAAATCGCACATTGTACCTGGTACATTGTTCTACGACAATGTGTTGCCATGGTTTCCAGGCGGCCCAGAAACTTTCTTGTGGATTTCTAACAAGATTGCTATGCCAACCTTTGCGATACATGTGATGGAAGTCATTTGGATGGATAGGAGCAGACTTATGAAGTACAATATCGAGAGGGGAAGTTCTATGTGGTGGAAATGGATGACGAGCTGTTTGATTGAGGGGCTTGGAAGTTTTGCCAGGATCGATGCTATGATCAAGCAACAAAAGAAAGAGAAAGAGTCGAAGGGAAATGGTGGACATTGAGATCTTTGCCAGACGACATGCAGAACAATTTCACCGAAAGGCAAATTCTATGAGCTGCGTGGAGAAATTGCGAGAAGAGCGATGACCAACACAATATGGAACCATGGCCAGATTATGATGAGAACAGATTGATTATTTGAAATGGAAGTAAGCTAGATACCCTTCAAAGTTCCACAATCGACAATGTATTACTTGCCCTTTTACTTACCAGTTTCCATTTTGTCTTTGTTCCAAAAGAGCCAACATCAATTATGGCTTCCACAGAGAGTTCATTTCTACTGCTTTGCTTTCTTGGTTTCGGGGAGGATCATATCGATGTTGACCTTGATCCATGCGTCAAAGCTATGAGAGCTAATGTTATATCAATGTCTGATACCCACCCCCGCAAAAACTTCTATAACCGTGCGAGCAAATCCCAAAAACATTTAATCATCCTACCAACTAACAGATCCATGTAGGCTGCATATATCTCCATCTCCCGTCATCACGGTCGGTGATAGCTATAATTGCCTAAGTTATGGTTGAATTAGGATTCAATGCGGCTCTTTCATGGTTGGCGTTAAGCTCAGCCTCCGTTTCGCGCTTCCAACAAATGAAAGATATTTTGGCTTCCTGAGGCTGTTGGAAATACCGAGAATTGACCTTCTTAAATGATATTAGAATCAACGCGTTTGGTGTAGATTCGCTGGTTTGCGATTATTTTCCTACTTTGTGTTTTCAGGTATCTGAAGTCTGGTACTTTCTTTTCAGTCGCTGTTGATATTTGCGTTTTTTTCTACTCGTGGATCTCTTGTTATTCAGACTGCACCTGCTTCATTGTGATTGTTAAATTCCATTCACGTAGTTCATTCATTTTTGTTTCCTATATTCTCTCCATACCTATCATACCAATCGTACCAATTATCGCTTTTATACATGTCTTCGCTCCTTACGACCCTCTTCCGTAGATCCCACTCCAACTACCATCCCAACCCCTCTTCGACATCCATATCTACCCCTTCAAAAATGGGTTCATGCCTCTCCCTGTCCTCAGGCCCCTCTCCAAAGAATACCACCTTCACATCCACAGCCTTCGGGCGCTCAGCATACGTACAAATTGAAAAACAGGACGAGGTCAAGAGATCGTTACTGGTAAACGAAGAAGAGTATTATTCGGATGAAGAAGATGTGGGATTCATGGATGTTCCGCCTAGGAAATATAGATTGAACAGGGGAAGATTGCAGATGCAAGAACATGAGAAGATGGGGAGTAATGAACCATCACAGGATGATTTTCTCTTGAACAAGACACTCCCTCCTTCTCCGGAAGAAGGAGATGAGCCGCCGTTCGAAGGTATGATTAAGGTGTGGAGTTCAGAGGGAGAGGGAAGATGGATGTGGCCAAGGGGAATGGGTGTTCCGGTGGTCGTTAGTGATGATTATAGGAAGTGGAGAGAACAGAGAGATGAGAGGGTTGGGGGATTGAGATCTTAAACTGGATTAGGCTTTGTGATTCAGGAGTTGGGGTTGAGGATACACAATGGCTTTGGTATATATATGGCATTGATTATCCCATTTAGCTTCAGCGTTTAGGAGGTAGGCTAATTTTTCACTCTGGGATTATTCGGTATTATATTGCATGCAAGTTTTAGTTGTTTTCATCTGACTTCTTGAGTGTATATTATCATCTCGTCTTGCTTACACCAATTTGTTTTCTTTACAAGAGGTATGTGGAGGCTTGCATTGTAATGGCTATCATGTAAAGACTATGGAATCAAGAGATAATTCTCTTGATGTCTAATGCTAGCTATCGTGCATGTAGGACAGTGAATCTTTCTAACCTTCGTTCTTTCTTTTGCTTGTTTTGTCTTGCTTGTCATACTTCTGAGTTCTGTTCACTCGGAATTGCTGGTGGCGGAAAATGAAAAGGCTACCCACAATTCCCTTTCATGATGAAGTACAAATTGATAAGAACTATGCTGCAGGTGTGATCATCTCACACAAAAGTTGGTGAGAAGCGATGCGTTCACCTCGTGCGCAATTCTTTGATCGCAACATACACGAGAATGTACTGTTGCTTACGAACATTACAAATCGCGAACCCTAACTACCTAGGCAGTGCCCACACTTCTACGGGAAGGGTTATTCTAGAAAAGAATCGCGATCGTGATCGGGGAGCGTGGGGCGTTGATCTCCAGGTTACAATCTCTTTGGACCTCTTCCTTACTACACCAATCATGCTATCAATTCCTCGAACCACTCAAATCAAGATACGTCATAATGACATGACTATTGGGTCTACATGCGGACAACAAAATGTGAACGCAGATCAAGCGCGCGGCAATATAGGGTCAATCATCATGTGGCCGGACTCGACCAAGAGATGCAGGCCAGATGTGGCTGATGATGGACAACCGATTCTTCTCGTGAATTTCTGTAGGCGCACTGAGAATTTTAGGATGAAATGAAGTGACTTTTTACGTTCAGTATGGTCGGCCCTCATAACATCGTCCTCAGGGGAAAATCCTCGGACCTCGAGAAATGGCGGTGCAGTGCTTGTTTTCCTTGTTGGTAGTATTAGATATCTGGGCTACTTCTAGGGTACATGAAACCTTATTGAAAAAGTTTATATTTCCTTGTGGGTTCCAGTGAAATATCCTAGGATTTCCTTATATTGTTCGCTAAAATGGCCTCACGATCGTCCAGCAATTCATCCAAAGCAAAGCCTTTACCACAGGATGGTTCCTCTTACGGTTTGCGACCAGTGAATGATCTTACAGTCCCGAAAAGAAGTGGACTTGAACGAAATGGTGCACACCGCAGAAATAAAGGCAACCCCCAAACTTTGCCACGAGGAACTCAGAAAAGGGAATATCATAGTGATAGTGAGGGATGTCAGAGCGGAAGTAGTACCGATAGTAGTACGAAATCTAGGAGTAGAGGACGGAGAAGTAATCATGATCATGTTACTGATGGTACCACTAGAAGTAAAAAAAAGATCGATCCGTATAGTGACTCGGACTCGGGATATAATACAGATCGGGGACCACGAGCAGCTTCAAGGAAGTCAACTAGTTCTAAGAAGGTTCAATCGATAACCATGATACCGGGTAAATACGGCCCAAATGACGCTTACAGCAACCCTGTCCAAGAATTGAGTCATGTAAAATTAGCAAAGGAGGCTATACCTCTTGATCACAGACGAAGAACTAGATCAAGAAGTCGTCAGGAAAAACATGATAGTAATAGGGTTGCAGATACTGATAAAATCAATGGCACGATAGCAAAAATATCTAGGCGCGAGTACTTCAAGGAAGACTTAGAACATCGCGTAGCTGATGCGAGACCAGAGTCAGCGAAGATCGAGCGTAAGTTGTTTCCAATCTCTGATCACAAAAACAGATATCCAAGTATCTAACATTCATACAGAGCCAGCTTCTTCTTACAGTGAAGGAGAGGCAGCACAACTTTGTAATGATTCGGAGGTGGAACTAGTAGATTCTGGGTCTCATCAAAGTAGATCCAAGCCGATTGCGAATCCGAATCACCGAGAACAACTCCGGGATACTAAAGTGCCATCAGGAAGGGCAAATTCGAGGGAACATGCGAATCGGCAACCACGCCATGGAAATGAAAATTCAAAGGAACCAAGAAGAGAATACAGTTTCGAGCCTATCCGACAACCAGATGTAGTTAGTGCGTGGGAAACCCCGGGTCAAAACAGAACGAGAAACCCAAGCCCTGAAGCCAATACACAAGAAAGGACAGTAAATGAAGCGCCGCTGAACTATCGTCGCTACTATAAGGATTTTATGAGAGACTCAAACCCTCCAGCTGGGACGCCGAGAAGGCCGGTAGTTGAACAGAAATCGAGATCTCGTTACCCTGCAGACGATAACATAAATCCAAGGCTAGCCAGTGATAAAGGTAGAGAACATCATAAGAAACCAGAGCAATACACTCCAAATCCAGACATATTCGCTCAATACGATGCCCCACCAGAGAAAGAGAAGAAGAGAAAGAAGAGTCCATCAAAGATATTCAAAAGTTTTTTCAGAAGCGGAAAAAGTAGTAAACCGTCTGGCGAACGTAAAAGGGAGGTTTGAGCAGGTCTTGTATTACCGGTGTTCTGTACTCTTTTCTGATTTCGAGATACTGTCAGGGGAATTTCGACACTTTTCGTTGTTGGGTTTGTTATTGTACGCTTGTTTGATTGGTAATTACTGTGTGTTTTGAGCAATTAGGGATCTGTTAGTGTAGTTGATATATTTGATTCATTTTTCATTAAAATTGGACTTATTCCCATCTTACAATGGGCCTTTGTGCCTCTTATCACACAGATTTCCAGAGCGGGTGGGCGGAAAATTCCGACCAGCTTTTGAACTGCTTCAGAATGTATACAATACATCGTGCCCGAGTAACACGAACGGATGAGGCGTAGGTACACACAGCACTATTACCGAAGACATCCTCGCTTGCAGTGTAGGCAATAGTATACTACAGTGAAACCGTGGCGCGTATTAGCATATTGATATTGCAGCTAGTACATATAGAAAGGAGGTTATACCACTCTCGTACATATTCATATGCCTAAAGAATACTAGCAATATACTGAAATACTGGAATCCAATATAAAATATACATTCCTATCCTAATTAGGCTAGAAATAAGGGATTCCTATTCATATTAGGTAATAAAATTCCATTCCTTATTTCAAATTGAATAGGAATCCCTTATTTCTAGCCTAATTAGGATAGGAATGTATATTTTATATTGGATTCCAGTATTTCAGTATATTGCTAATAATATTGAATAACTAAATGATATTGAATACTTTCAGTGGTATTGAATTCTATACCACATACGTACATATTTCGAAAAAATTCGATACGCACCACTAAACTAACCCGTATACGAAATACGGGGAATACTATTGCCTACACTGCTCGCTTGTGCGATAGGAGAACATGACAAACTTCCCGCATAAAATTTAGAGGAGACAATTCTTCTGAGCAAAAGGATCTATCGTTCAATCAAACATGATGAACAGCTCGGAATTCAAATGTTAATAAATGTTCAATCATTCTTTATCAAATTTTTAACTTCAGATTGAAATATGGGACTCAAGATTATAATCGACTTGATCTCATATCGCTAATAACTTATTTAATACTGCGGACGTGTGTATCGAACCAGGAATCAAGTGGAATAAATTTAAGAACTGTTTATTTCTAAACTAAAACATTCTTCATATATTAACACATAGCCATCTACGCAGGCTCAATTTGAAAGCACTACGAAAGGATGTAATGTGAATTAAACTACATAGTACCTGACTGATGAATATATATCAACATTTTGTAAGTATAGAAATGGAAACGGTTGACCTGTAAGCCACTTCAAAAGACTTGAAGTAATAAGAAATCCACACAGAGATAATGGCATAGCAAAAAAGTCTCGATAAATGCATCAATATGAAGGAGGATTAATAGCCGGCTTACCATTAGCCTGTGTTCTTGCCATGTAATCGAACTTTTCAATGATATTCCGCAACGGACCGCATGAAGCATACCGCATATTATGTATGGGAATTCCTCGCGTCAGGCCGTAACGAATGAGATTAGCCTTCGTTATCCTGCGACCGATATCAAAATCGATTTTAGGTGGCATACCTCGATACCATCTCGCGCGATCTCGACGGGACAACTCTTCCACAGCTCCGTAATTGCAGTGCTTGGCAATGAGATTCTTGTACTGTGTAGATCCGCTTGTGTATCGAAAATTGTAGCTTTGCTCCGGCCACATGGGTGCTATGTATTGCCGACTTGGGGCGGCAGCCAACTGGCCACGATGGAGCTCGAGAGCAATTTGACCCCGGCGATTAGCGATCATCTGAGCTTGAGTCATGCCAGCAGGAATATGCCTGAAAAAGTCGAGACGATACCCCATTGCGATCATGAGAGCATTGTGGCAGACCATTGCAGCACTGTTTTGTGCGTCTATAGCAGCTGTAGGTCCTGGAATCTGATTTTGAGCGGAAGCATTGGTTCGCATCATCCAATGTTTTGGGTTGAATTCATTTCCACTTACAGAATTACCTCCCATGTACGATGAAAGAAGTTCAAGATATGACCGATGAGCTTTTGCTCAACAATATAGTGCCTTGGGAGTGGGGGAACGAGATCTGGCCCGGTAGATTGAAGTCCGTTGTAGTCATCCAGATAATCGATTGTTTTCCGTTTAGGTGAAATTACTATCAGTGTGTGATGCCTGAAGCCTGGCCCGAATCGATCATCTACCCGTTCGTGGTCAGGAGGTGAGCAATTACAATTATCAACTTAGAAGAGATTCTGAGGAAAACGAAATAAGGAATGTGGGATTTTCATCCGGTACTAGCATTTTTGAATTAATTACGAACCACTTGCATAAATATATGAGATGACTGAGCAGCTAGCGTTCTAGATCTTGCAGTTTCGTGAGAATGTAGCATCCTAGGAGTAACTCGAAAGAGACCTTGTAACATCCCCCCTTGGACCGCCATAAATAACCCTGATGTATGTCATAGTCAGATTGTCAGTGGCTATTTAGCGGGGAAAATTCTTGACTAGACGAGAAATGAGTAGTCGTAACAAAACCAGGAGAATAAGGAAAGCATTTGAGGAAAGAGAAAGTAGGACTTGGGATCAGAGAACAGACTCAGGTATGAATCTTAGTAAAATATTGAAAAGGATTACGAACATTATAGACTGTCTGAGTTAGTACATCCCATGCGGCCGGGTCACGAATGGTTTGTGCGGGATATGCCCCTGGGGGTGGCATCCAAAACTCTGCCCCGATGAATGCACATTAGGGGATATCATTTACACCATTTGCCGGGCGAGGACAGAGGGATTTCACTCTCTCGCAAAGCAATCGAAGATGTTTGTTTACTGCGTATGCTGTGGGTATTCACCATGTACCAGGGGGAACAGGGATCCCAGGTACTCCGGTATATCCAGGCCCACGCCAACCAGTCATGATCATGACTTCATGTCGTGTAGTGACTTTCCCTCCCTGACCAAGATTATCCGGAGCGACCTGGGCGTGGAGTGGTGCACATGGTGGAAGAGGAGCGGGTGGGTTGACGACTGTACTAAGTTCCACTATCTCCGCAGCGATCAATGGACTAAAGAGTCCTACTGGAGCCTGCCGGAATGGCATATCAATCAGACAATACGATAGTCATGCTTAAAATAAGATGCGAAATTTTGCCGACGAAGTTTGAAAGCAAAAACACTGGACGCACAAAGTTGATTCATAATAGAATGTCAAGGACAATGAATGTCGGTCCTCGACAAAGAGTTCGTGTAACACATTGTCAGATATAACAATGACTTGATCGAAAGGGGTTTACTTCGAGCCTAAAATGCCCGCCTGTAGACCACCTTCGCGAGTAAAATTCGGTATGAAAGGAAAATTGGAGAAGATATTAGTTGGTTGTTTAAATAATCATAAAAAAAGGCTAAAGGTCTGGTATCAAGTGAGAATTGAATACCAATGTTTTCCATAAGCGTTATTATCCGTAGCAGTAGAGAGAGATATGAAAACGCGATCCAAATAGGAAGCAGAAGAAGTCCAAATCAAAGCTTTTGAAGTTATACAGGACGGCGAAGTGCATCAATCCTCAAATGCCCTTTGCCATGAACGTTATTTGTTACAGCTTGCAGGAGAGCGAAGCACTTTCTTGGAACGATCTAGGCATGGTATTGACAACTACCATGTTCGATAGCTGGTACTGCAGATCTCCTTTGATAGAAGGACAGATTGTTAACTGAAAGAACCGGTGAAAAACTCAGTCGGGCGTTGGTTTGTGTTGTGTCGAGTATTATGGGAATTGGTGAACTTTGAAGATGAATCGATCAGTACTTCATCAAATACCTTCCGACAATAACAGGTAGGCATATATACTGTAAGAAACAATGATTTTGATGAGAAGATAGGAACGAGTGCGGTGAGGACTCAGGGTTTGTGAACCCCTATCAATGAGAGATTATATAGAGGGCATACGTATACCTAGGGAAGTTTCCGATATTGAAGCGAAAAGGATCATGGAATGAAATATATTAGTTGTCACGTGAGTATAATTGCACTTCGTACTAGATGCGATGATTTCATACATCGTCGGAAGGGATTGATAAGATAAGTAAGTGACTTGGGTATGAATGGAAAATGAAATCAATTGTCCGCAAAGAAAGTTATCGGGGAATATTCTCCTTTGGTATGAAATATATTAAAGGTGGAATACAGTGGAACAGAAGTTGGATTAACAATGTGCGTCCACTCAAGTATCCCCTGTACTAAACCGTCCGATTCATCAATTGGAAACAAGAGAAATCGTTGAAATTGGGTTGTCTATGCAAGTCTGAGTCTGAATTGAGCGATTGGCTGTTGAAATATCCGGATTGAGCTCTGAAACAAATTCTAGAATATCCCATATTCAATGCTTTGACATTTGACCGTTATTTACGCAGCAAGACGATGATCGGTCCCGAATACTGAACGAAATATCCGGATGATCATTTAGAATCTTACTCTATTAAGCGTTCTAATCACCAACATCGAGCTTGTTAGCGACTTGGCATACATGGCGGATCCAAGGAGCAGCGTTAATTAAGGGGAAGATATCACATATCTGTGACAACACGAACTTACCAAGACCTATCAAGCCTCTCAAGCCTTTTCCAAGCTTTGCTTAAGCATTGCACAAGCTTCATACGAGAGATCATATACATGAAGCCAAGTCGGGTGTTCAACATCAAGATCTCTTGTGCGCAGCGTATGCGTAGATCTCAAGCGTTTGAGATTGGCGATGTTTAACGTCTGATGAACGTCCAGCACAGCCAGCACAGCCATCACCGGTATTTCAAGTAGAGTAGCATTTTAAAAATTTACGCGTACGTTGTAAACATGGTGGTTCCCATCAGCGGTTGTTGGGAATCAGGGGTACATTGTCAATTTACCCAATAGTACAGTACAATTTCTTTTGAGAATAAACAGAAAACCAAACCCCCATACAAACAAACAATTAGACCCATGAACCCCGCCCCAAAAGTCCTCAAATGTGTGTGTATGCAAGGGCATTAGATTCTTTGCCCATTTCTCCACAACTTATATTAAAAACGCTTTTTGGGAGCAACTTTACAATCAATTCAATTCTCCGAACAACCTCCTGTAATTTCCTCCATGTGAGCTCCGGCGGTAGCACACGAGAGTATCTATCCGATGACGATGACATAGACCCTTGTATTAGACAATTTCTTCCATCGTGCTTCTGTATATAACTTCTCAATTCTCCGCGCTCAATCATACCATCGAAGTATCATCACTCTTTACATTTACATTCTTTTCAATTTCATACCTTCCTTTTCGTTTTACTATTAAGACAATTACATTCGTTGAACATAAACTTGCCGGTCAAAATGCGTTCTGCGATCATCCTCGGAGGCTTGGCCTCAATTGTTCTCGCTTGCGACAACCCAGATAACGATGCTTGTGCCAATGCTTTCACCGTTTCCTCAGCCGCAGCTGGTCCTTTCTGTGCTACTTATACCCAAGCTGCAAACTCAGCTTCCACTGGTCTTCCCGCTTTCGCTACCGCTTGCGCAAACAAGCCAAAGAAATTGTCTAGCGCATGCAGTTGTCTTCATGGAGCAACCACCTTGGCTACTGTTGCCGTAAGTACTCCCTTCCAGAAGGAAATACTCGTGTCTTGATATTGGTGCTAATTCGACATTAGAAGAGCACAAGTGCAGCTGCCGCCTCGGGCGTAGCTGCCTCAAGCGCCGCTGTCGCCCCAGTTGCTGCTAGCTCAGGTTCAGCAGCTGCCAGCTCATACGCTCGAAGCTCATACGTCAAGTCTGTCACTGCCTCAGTCTCTGCTCTAGCTCACAAAGCAACAACTGGTGTTGTTGCCAGCACGTCGGTCCCAGCCGTTTCATCCACTGCAGGTGCAAGCACTGCAGTCATTACATCGGCACCAGCTGCCCCAGCTGGATGCACAGCTACAGCTTACGCTGACATCGCTGACATCATTGCTTCTTGCACAAACATTGTTTTGGACAACATCTCTGCTCCAGCAAGCTCCACCATCGATCTTCAAAAACTCCAAGACGGATCCACCGTTACCTTCTCCGGAACTACTTCATTCGGAACCACTGCCGATTCTGACTTCAACCCAATTGTTGTCAAGGGTACTGATATTACCATTACTGGAGCTGCTGGACACGTTATTGATGGAAACGGAGCTGCATACTGGGATGGAGAGGGTTCTAACGGAGGAAGCGGCAAGCCTGATCATTTCTTCGTCGTCAAGGATGTCGTCAACGGTGTCATCTCCAACCTCAACATTCAAAACTGGCCTACTCACTGCTTCGACATTACCGGTGCCCAAGGTCTTACTGTCTCTGGACTTACCCTCGACAACTCTGCTGGAAATGCTCCTAACTCCAAGTCTGGTGATAAACCAGCCGCTCACAACAGTGATGGATTCGATATCTCTGGCTCTGACTCTGTAACCCTCGAGAACTGTGTCGTCAAGAACCAAGATGATTGCGTTGCCGTCACATCTGGATCCAACATTCTCGTCACCGGAATGACCTGTTCAGGAGGCCACGGTCTCTCCATCGGATCCGTTGGAGGAAAGTCCAACAACACCGTTTCCGGCGTTACATTCTCCGATTCCACCATCACCAACAGTCAGAACGGATGCCGCATCAAGTCCAACGCTGAAACCACCGGTACCATTGAGAACGTCACCTACTCCAACATCAAGATGTCCAACATCAGCGATTACGGTATCGATGTCCAGCAAGATTACTTGAACGGTGGACCTACCGGTAAACCAACCAACGGTGTTACCATCTCCGGCATTAAATTCTCCGGCATAACAGGTACCGCCACTGACGATGCATACAACTACTACATCCTTTGCGGAAGTGGTTCTTGCTCCGACATCACATTCACCGATGTTGCCATTTCTGGAGGTGGAAAGACTTCCACTTGCAACTACCCATCTACTGGATGCCCAGCATAAATGATTGATTGGGAGGAGCGATGAACTTGAGGCATGGAAGGCTCAAGCTTAAGTAAAAGGGATTCTGGTGAGAAATCAGCTATTGATTGGCTGTAAAAACACAACATTTGTATATATCTTTAGTTCTTGTATAACATTCGAGATTAATCGTTCTCTTGAATATTTAGATCTGCTCGAAAATCGATTGATTCTATAAATTGAATAATAAGTGCACTGACCGATATGGAGTACAAAGTGAAGAAGGTTCAAAAATGATTGCGCTATAGATGAGCCCACATAACAAACCTTTATCAACCTATCAACAAAATTCCGGGCTCTGATGCACACTGCAAGACATTTTGTTATCCATCCGAAGAACAAAACACTATCGACTAATAAACTCCAAATTAAAGCTCACCAACCATAATCGATATAATTAACTGGATACTGCCTATCCATCTATCTACTTCCTACCTTCGTATATCTTATTCCCCCCAAAATCAGTAAACAAAACCGCTCCCAAAAAACCCATTTCCAATCAAACAACCTCCAAAAAGATACAAAAGAATAGCAATTTCTCAAGCCAAAAAATTCCCTTGCCCTCCCTCTTCTTCTCAAACGAAGAAAATAAAGAAAATGAAAATTATCACCCCCAACCCCATTGTCTCCAACTCAAAGGCTCAAGAACCTCCAATACCCACCTTGATATCAGGTGGGAAACGACAAAAAAACGACAAAAAAACAGCAAAAACGAATTTGACCTACGCAGGGATCGAACCTGCAATCTCTTGATTCGTAGTCAAGCGCCTTGCCATTGGGCCAGCAGGCCAGTATGTAATAACTGTTTTTGTTAGAGAGGGCACCAGTGTTTGGTTATATAAAGAAATTTTTTAATGTGTGCGCGAAAATAGTGGGGCAATTTCCTTACATCAAGCGATCTGATAGGTGAGGTGCGTTAGGTTTTGAATTAGAATTTTCAAAGATCCGTTTTTATCCGAGTTTTACCTTCATTTTTGAAATCCGACATTTCATGATTGGTTGTATGAAGTCCCTCAAGTAACTGCGAATTATTCTCACAAGATCGAACTGTGATCTGGAAAATCGGTTTCTGGTGCTTGTCATGTGACATGTCTCATAGTAATGGTTTGTGTATCAATACTTATCTCATCCTCAGACCACACGGTGATTACATAATAAAATCGGGCTTTTTGGCCTTGATTTCGAGGCAGTGAATTTCGAAGCTTTATCACCGTAGGGTCTGAAACTATTTGGTTTCGGCCTTAATGTGAATCCCAATAATTCAGTATTTTTTGATTTTTCCATTAAATATTGTAAATTATTCAATCATTATATCACTTTGATACAGATTCAACTTATAGAGGTGATTTTCCTCATTATTTTGATATATTTTCTATGATTATAGCTCTATTCTATTATATACAAGTACAACATTGAAATTTAAAAATGGCATTTTTGAATCCCAACATTTCATCAAATTAAGCACCCACCCTCTTCGAAATCCACCACCACCACCATTCCTAATAATAATATATATATTCTGAAAGTCCTTTAATCAATCTGATTCCAATCATATACCTCAATCCTTTTTAAAGGATTGGGGTTGTTGAATCCGAAGAGGTTGGGTGCTCCTAAGCCTAAAAATTTGAAGCTATGTGCCTTAAACTTAAGGCATATGGCTTTAAAATTTGAAGAGCAATTGAACCTCCATTGACGACGTAATTCCAATGCCACTAGAGCTATTGAGAGAACTAGCAGTATACTCAGCTCAATAAGACGATTCGAATGATACTATTTTTAATATTAGTATTGATGAAATAAAGTTATTAAAAATAACTTATCTGGTTTCAAAAAGATTCTTCCAAACCATTCTACATCATCACCACAACTCCAATCAATTTGAAGCTGATTCATCTAATAGTATCAATTGAGCTCTTTCGAATACTATAATTAGTTTTTCAATAAATGGTGGTTGAAAGGGTGAAGTATATTATTGAAGTGCTTTCACCTAATAGATTCAGTTCCTCATCAAAAACAGAACCAAATACTCTCAAACTCTCGAAGAGATAAACAGCCTCTCGATCCCTGATTGATTCGAATAATTATTAATAAGCACAACAACACTAAAAAGATCAGTATAATCAATAACCTCAAAATACTAACGTTAGCTATTATAGAATGATTTATTATCGACGAAGAGATTCTGAATATTGAGATAAATCAATACCCTAGGTAGTCGTAGTTTAGAACAATTCATTGTTGCGTTCCTCGATGTTAATCACATGGCTTGGGTGTTTCTGTGTTAAATGTAAATAGAGGGGTCTTTTTTGAGGAGAGTATTGGTTGCCAACAGCTACAAGAATTGACTCAAAGATTTAATTATCATAATCATCACGATTATTGCAAGCAGATAGTATAGGAGTCCATGAGTGGCTCCGAAAGATAAATCGCAAATCGCATGCATGCTATCACATATCAAAGATCCATAAATACACATCATATCTGACGAGACACATGCAAAGCTTTAAATTTCCTTAACATAGCCTTAATTGTTTTTATTGGCAATAATGTATTGACATAAAGTATAAATGAATGTGTTTCCTGTCAATCAACGAAAGCAGGATAGAACGGAAGGTCTTTCTCAATAATAGCTCTGATAAGGATCTCATGCAGCAAGCTTAACATCAAGTCTCTTGAAACCGCCCTTGTCAGCGACTTCCTGTTGCAAAACAACCATTCTCTTCTGGTCGCCAGTTGGATCAGCCGAATCGCCTTCAAGCTTCCATTCGAGGAATTCGTTGGTGTAGTTAGGACTGAAGTCTTCATTCAAGACACCAAGGCGTTTACCATACTTGGTAACCTTTTCCCAATCACGTCGAACATTCTTGAGATCCTTCGAGAAGTATGCGTAAGAACGCTCAAAAATCTTACGGTTGACAGCAGAAGCCATTTCAGGTTTGATGTCAATGTATGTCTTATAAGCGTCGGATGGAGAACCAAGAACGTGGTCAGTTGCTCGTTTGACGGCCTTCATGAATCTTCGGATCTTCTCTGGATTCTGTGCAATGAATGCGTCATTTGCTGTTGTCAATTAGCTAGGTACTCCAAGTGTTTGAACTGGAGAACGCACCGATATACAAAATAGAACAGAAGCAACAACACCCAAGCTCAGCGAGCTCATCAATACGGAGCATCTGAACATCGGAGCGAGGGCGACCTTGATTTGCGAGCCACTCTTCAAGTTCGACCATTTGTACGTTTTCCAATCCGATGCCGGCATGAATAGTTCCCTCAATGATAGCCTTTGAGACATTCATGCCACAACGAACAGCTTCATAATCAGTTGGCTTCATCCCATAGTGCTTGGTCAACTCATCAATCTGGATCTATGATCGAGCATTGTTAGATGGTTATCGCGGCTGGAGTATTCAATGCCTACTTTTCCAAATTCTCCAACGTATCCAATCTTCTTTCCTTTGAGACTGCGAAAGTCGGTGGTAATTCCACTATCCTTGAGGTAAACCACTCCGGTGAATGGCTCATCAAGCAAGGAGCCGATCGAGGTAACGGGAAAATCCCGAGCTTTGGCGGCAAGGGTATGGATCATGGCTTTGAAACCCATATCGACTTTTCCGGAACCGATGATTTCGGTAACATCTGGTTCACTCAATCAGCTACCATCCAAACGAAATTATTCGAGTCTTTCTTTGATTGCTAACCACTGGGATCATTAGGCTCAAGAAGAGCTACCTTGATTCCTTCATCGGCGAAGTATCCAAGCTTTTGAGCGAGATAGACGGGTGCATGATATGGCGTTGCGTGCCTATTGAAAAACAATTTGTTAGATTTCTCCTTTGCTTCAAATGAGCTCTTCCAGTCACTTGAAGCTACAGTTAGATTTATGTAGCCTACCAGTTCATCAAGAATGTGATTTTATCAGTCGACATTCTGGTGATCAGGTAGCTAATAAATGGTTAGAAGATTCGCATGGGGAGGGAAGGGGAAGCATGTCCTTTCGCTAGAATTATCTAGATCAAGTTCATATGTACGGTATAATCTCAGATCCAAAGTCTATCCGTCGCTGGCTTGAGGCCATAGATGGACAGAATTTGGAACACCCGCCATGCCTTTGTTACACGTTACCTTGATCTGAGGATGATTCATAGCGTGAGAGAGCCACGCTTCGGTTCTTATCGAACATACTAAATCGATTTGATGCGAGTAAGATAGTTGAGAGTTGAAGTGATTAGAGTTGATGTTGGACCGTTCGAATTGTAAGTGTTAGAGAGAAAGTAAAGGAAAGGAAGAAAGAAAAGATAGAGGGGTAACTCCATTATAAGGTACAGCTTGTGGTCAGCTTCGGCCCTAGTGCGGGGTAAAATCAACGTGCACCCACCATGATGCATGATCTATTGATCCCAACAAAATCAGGCCCTACCAATGAGAAGCTCAAGGTATGACTAAATTCAATTAAAAGTGCAAATCGAGAACATTTTGCCGGCTAAATGGATTGTCGTCACCATAAATAAGGAAGGTAACTCCAGATATGAATTGCAAATGGCGACCCGAGTACACATCGAAACCCTAAATTTGGTCTCGTTTACACGTGCTGCAGGCATTTGGTTTTGATGCCTGCATGTGATTCTCGCAGTGTTCCTGCTCTAAGTCTAGGTCCGCCACTCGAGGTCGTACGGAGCTGCGTCGGATTAGTCCTCGGAGTCCGTTTTGTGCTACTTGTTTAAACATCGCATCTGCAGCAGCGATTTCAATGCTTCCTCCGAGTACACGCACTTGGGAAACCATACCAAGGGCGACAGCGAATGAGTATGCTAGAGTCAAGTCTCCATAGTGGTAGAAATACGACTCGCCTGAGTTTGTGACTGCGTTTATCATGGTGCTGACATTACATCAATCCTATCATTCATTTCAGCGTTAGGTGAAGTAATCGGAAAACCCACACAAAATTTGCAGCTGACATAGTCATACCAACTCGTAAAGCAAAA